GACGATATTACGCGTAATAGATTAAGGACGATATTACGCGTAATAGATTAAGGACGATATTATGCGTAATAGATTAAGGACGATATTACGCGTAATAGATTAAGGACGATATTACGCGTAATAGATTAAGGACGATATTACGCGTAATATATTAAGGACGATTTTACGCGTAATAGATTACGAACGATTTTACGAGTAATAAATTACGGATGATTTTAGTCGTAATAGATTACAGATTGAAAATAGAAAAATATTGAAAAAGTAAACAAAAAAACAGGAAAACTTTTTAAAAAAAAATCAAATAATACAGGAGCGATTGAGACGCGATGACATGTTTTCTTTGTACCAAATGTATTCGAACAGAGCTAGCCCCCAGGGGTCAGACTGATGACCAGGGAAACCCCATGTTTAGTGCAGGTGACCCAGTCAGTGACATCGCGTCAACAAGAAAAAATAAATTAAACATATAACTATGAACGAATTTGCAAGAAAACGTTCCTGAGAAGTGAAAATTATGAGAATACTGCTGAATGAAAGAAATTCATTCTTGCAACAAAACTGCTACGTAAATGGAATTCTATCTTGCTTAGACTTCAGTTCAACTCGTGCATGATCGATGGATCTCTCTTCAAATTCTAGGACCAGCTAATTAAAATGCGAAATTATCAATGCCTTTATCGATTTACGTTTTGAAGTGAATTCAAGTTTCGGCGTCGGTAATTCTGTGGTGCCAGGTCTCAGACTAAAGACGCGTCGGTTTTTAACAACAATGTTCACAGTCGTCTGTATTATATTCATGCTTAGATTTCGCAGCCAAAGTATGCTAAGACTGAATTAATTGTTTGGTTTGAAGCCATAAACGTCAGTTTCATGTGGTTAGTTCAATGTTGACGACTATTTCAAATTTTCAGAGCTTAGTCTTAATTAACATATAGAGAGTATATGCAGTGAAGTAATACGTCCCTGCTCTGTGGGCCGGGGAAGACCTTTTCAGCACAAGACAAAGAATTGTGTTTAATCACTAGTTCTCTTGGAGCTAATATATTAGATAGTTACAATCAAATTATTTTCCATATTATTGTAACGAAATCCAACTACCCTGTTTTATAATACTATTGCTGAATGTCGTAAGCCATAGTGTGTCGGAAATGTATTGTGCAACAAAATGTCCGACATGTGTGGTGTAAATGTACATTAAAGTACACTGGATATGTGTGGTGAACTGATGTGATTCCTGTGTTTGCATGTGAATGGTTAGGTATGGTGTGGACAAGAAGTATGATCGAATGCTGTGGGGTCACTCTTTATGATGCATTGCAGTCACGAGATGCTTAGCTGCCATTCTATGCTGAAGGTTCACTCTTTACGATGCATCGCGGTCAAGAGATGCGTAGCTGCCATTCTATGCTGTGGGTTCAGTCTTTAGGATGCATCGCAGTCACGAGATGCGTAGCTGCCATTCTATGCTGTGGATTCACTCTTTATGATGCATCGCAATCAAAAGATGCGTATCAGCCATTTTATGCTGTGGGTTCACTCTTTAGGATGCATCGCAGTCACAAGATGCGTAGCTGCCGTTTTATACTGTGGGTTCACTCTTTAGGATGCATCGCAGTCACAAGATGCTTAGCTGCCATTCTATGCTATGGGTTCACTCTTTATGATGCATCGCAGTCACGAGATGCGTAGCTGTCATTCTATGCTGTGGATTCACTCTTTATGATGCATCGCAATCACAAGATGCGTATCAGCCGTTTTATACTGTGGGTTCACTCTTTACGATGCATCGCAGTCACAAGATGCGTAGCTGCCATTCTATGCTGAGGGTTCACTCTTTACTATGCATCGCGGTCACGAGATGCGTAGCTGCCATTCTATGCTGTGGGTTCACACTTTAGGATGCATCGCAGTCACAAGATGCGTAGCTGCCATTCTATGCTGAGGGTTCACTCTTTACGATGCATCGCGGTCAAGAGATGCGTAGCTGCCATTCTATGCTGTGGGTTCAGTCTTTAGGATGCATCGCAGTCACGAGAT